CTATTTTTTGTTCAACTAAAGCGGGTATAACGGGACTCTTTTGTGCGTGGGAAACATAAAAATTCTTTTCAAGTTTTTTGCTTGGCTCCTTTACTAGCGAAATGTTTTTCGACGAGTTTAACCAGTGGATTAAGATTTAGGATAAATCTATAATCTTCTTTTTCTTGTATTTTTACCATTGTATATGGTAGTGATTTTTTTCCACTAACTCGGGCCAAATTTTTGCCAAAAAAATGCCTTTTTTCTCAACTTTTTGCGGCAAAATTAACGAGCGATTTTTTTCTTTCAGATTTGTATCCAGTTTTTTGCCAAGAAATTTCGCAAAAATTTTTACTAGAAGTTGCCTTTTGGGGTTAAAAAAAGCCCGAAAAAGTTACCCTAACATCTTAAAGATTGATTCGTTATCGACAATGCAATTTGTTGATTCGATTAAATTAAAGTTTCCGTTTCTCAATTATTCTGCGAAATTTTCCTTTCTACTTCGCATTTAGCCTGCACCTGTTTTTTTCAGAAAGCTAAGGATAAATTAAAAATTTCTTGCACGCGGGGATGCTCTCGCACTTTCACATTATATTTCTTATTCTTAATTTGTTTTAGGCCTTTCTGGGCAGTCAAATCTAACTCCTCCTCGCGATCACAAGCCTTATATTCAATAATAAAAGCATGGTGGAGAGGTTTAGATTTAGGGATTAAAATTAAATCCGCTCGGCCCTGGCCAGATTCTTGTTCACTAGTGATTAAATAAGTTGGCCTTAAAATGTGTATCAGACCTAAGACAAAGCTATTATAAAAAGATTCGGCTTGCTTTTGGCCGGTTTGCAAAAAACTAGTTGCTTCTAGCAAGAACTCTCGTAATTGCTGCACAAACTCCAGAATATTTTTTTTCGGGAGTAAATTAACTAAAGAGTAGTATTGGTAAAGACTTATTTGGGATTGATGCTCTACTCATTTTATTATTCTTTTCTCGTAAATTTTTTTAATTTCTTGGTTCGGGATGGCTAACTCATAAGCATCAGTTTGAGCAGACCTAGTCACGGGACTTAAATAACCACTGAAAAGCAATAAACTAAAAAGGGTTTCGGGTTGTTTAAAAGCACCAAAACTAATTTGGGTTTCGATAGGAGAAACAATGGTTTTGTCCTTTACTAATTGCTGAATTTGCTCTTGAATTTCATCGTTTAATAGAGCTTTTTCTAATAAATCCATGCTACCGCTCTCTGTCCAATGTTGACTAACCTCGTCTTTACGAGCTAAATAACTCATTAGTGAATAAGGATTATAAACCGTTTGCCCGCCGAAATTGTAGCCATTATACCACTCTTTAATCTTGCGATAATTAACTCCCGGGAAAAATCTTTTTAATAATTGGTTGACTTCTTTCTGGGTAAAGCCATAAAATTCCCCAAATTCGGAATTGAGGAGAGTATACTCTTCCACATTATTCAGACCCGAAAACAAATTAGCTTTGGCTATTCGTAAAATACCAGTCAATACTCCTTTTTTTAAATAAGGATTATCTTTTAAAACCGCACTCAACATTCCTCTAATTATATCCAGTACTTGCTCAAATTCCTCCGTTCCATAACCAAACTTGACATAAGAAGCGTTAATTGTTTCATCGTATTCATCAATCAAGACTAAAACCGGTTTTTTAAAATGCTTAGCCAGCAATTCACTTAAAAAAGATAAACTAGATTGAAGGTCGGCACTATTAATTTTGCCTTGACAATAGTCACGAAACTTTTTCTTGTCAAAAACTTCTAATTGTTCACTATAACCCAAGTAAGCGTGTAATCTATAAGTTTCTTGAATTTTTTGGTTAAGATTATTTACGATTTCTCGGTAGTTGTTGCCTTTGGTATTTTTCAGACTAAAAAGAATTACCGGATATTGACCGGTATTTTACGAATAGCCAAAGCTAATTTGTTTTCGGGTCTGAATAATGTGGAAGAGTATACTCTCCTCAATTCCGAATTTGGGGAATTTTATGGCTTTACCCAGAAAGAAGTCAACCAATTATTAAAAAGATTTTTCCCGGGAGTTAATTATCGCAAGATTAAAGAGTGGTATAATGGCTACAATTTCGGCGGGCAAACGGTTTATAATCCTTATTCACTAATGAGTTATTTAGCTCGTAAAGACGAGGTTAGTCAACATTGGACAGAGAGCGGTAGCATGGATTTATTAGAAAAAGCTCTATTAAACGATGAAATTCAAGAGCAAATTCAGCAATTAGTAAAGGACAAAACCATTGTTTCTCCTATCGAAACCCAAATTAGTTTTGGTGCTTTTAAACAACCCGAAACCCTTTTTAGTTTATTGCTTTTCAGTGGTTATTTAAGTCCCGTGACTAGGTCTGCTCAAACTGATGCTTATGAGTTAGCCATCCCGAACCAAGAAATTAAAAAAATTTACGAGAAAAGAATAATAAAATGAGTAGAGCATCAATCCCAAATAAGTCTTTACCAATACTACTCTTTAGTTAATTTACTCCCGAAAAAAAATATTCTGGAGTTTGTGCAGCAATTACGAGAGTTCTTGCTAGAAGCAACTAGTTTTTTGCAAACCGGCCAAAAGCAAGCCGAATCTTTTTATAATAGCTTTGTCTTAGGTCTGATACACATTTTAAGGCCAACTTATTTAATCACTAGTGAACAAGAATCTGGCCAGGGCCGAGCGGATTTAATTTTAATCCCTAAATCTAAACCTCTCCACCATGCTTTTATTATTGAATATAAGGCTTGTGATCGCGAGGAGGAGTTAGATTTGACTGCCCAGAAAGGCCTAAAACAAATTAAGAATAAGAAATATAATGTGAAAGTGCGAGAGCATCCCCGCGTGCAAGAAATTTTTAATTTATCCTTAGCTTTCTGAAAAAAACAGGTGCAGGCTAAATGCGAAGTAGAAAGGAAAATTTCGCAGAATAATTGAGAAACGGAAACTTTAATTTAATCGAATCAACAAATTGCATTGTCGATAACGAATCAATCTTTAAGATGTTAGGGTAACTTTTTCGGGCTTTTTTTAACCCCAAAAGGCAACTTCTAGTAAAAATTTTTGCGAAATTTCTTGGCAAAAAACTGGATACAAATCTGAAAGAAAAAAATCGCTCGTTAATTTTGCCGCAAAAAGTTGAGAAAAAAGGCATTTTTTTGGCAAAAATTTGGCCCGAGTTAGTGGAAAAAAATCACTACCATATACAATGGTAAAAATACAAGAAAAAGAAGATTATAGATTTATCCTAAATCTTAATCCACTGGTTAAACTCGTCGAAAAACATTTCGCTAGTAAAGGAGCCAAGCAAAAAACTTGAAAAGAATTTTTATGTTTCCCACGCACAAAAGAGTCCCGTTATACCCGCTTTAGTTGAACAAAAAATAG